GCGGAGGAAACGCTGCGCAACCCGGCCTGGGAGGTCTTTCTCCGATATATAGCGGAGAAAGACCTCCCAGGCCGGCTGGGTACAGGGTGACCGTATGGCTCTTTCACCACATTACGCCACATCACCAGATACAACGCCAATTAGATTCAAATCATCCCTTTTCAAACGATGGTAACCAATCCCTGGCCTCACGTTTTGAATCCAACCACGGTCAGCTTGTGGTTCAATGTAGTTCAAATTTTTACCACATATTTAAGGCGAGTAAATCATCAATCGATCACAAATCCAAGCTCCTCAGTCGCTCATCTTCAATCTTTGATTTTACCGAATTCAACTCGTTTCACAATGGCTCCATCAAAAAACTCTTCACAAACTTCAAGTTCAAACAATTCAACTAAATCAACCAAAAGTACCCTTCAAGTTCCCAGCAAGGCACTGTCCAAGCGAAGCCTTCGACCACCAAGTCCAGCTTGCACCCAGCCAGGATTTGTCATCCCTCCAAACGACTCACGTTCTGCTATCACAGTCTCTTTGACTGCTGAAGAAGAACCTGGACCACTCGCTTCTCGGGCTGCTTCACCTCGACCCCCGACTCCTACCAACAACAAGAGCAAGAAACATCCATCAGCACAACCAAGAGCCAAGGCAACTCGAAATGGGAAGGTTGGATTTTTTACTCTACTGTGTAATACTATAGGTTAATGTATGTTACTGACGATCCTTTTTCTTCTTTTGTTCTCTTATTCTTTTGATAGTCTTTTTTGTCAACTAGCAAACGAGTCAGATCTCCATCACCAAGCTCATCGGGTAGCACACAGTCACCTCGACCATCTAAGAGGACCAATGTGGATGTGAGCTTGCTCATTTATCTTGTTTTATCATTCTTTTTTCATACAACACTATCACTCTCATCTAATTATATGTGACTAATCTTTCCCTATATTTTACTATCTTCTGTTTAGCCCTACGAGATTCCTGACAATGTAGACTTGTCTCAGGAATCGGACATTGAGGTTGTAGGGTCAAAAGAAATTGGATACAATGAAGGTCGGACACTTGGTGTCAAGGAACTCCTCAAGTTTTATTACCCTCCAAAAGTGTGATTGTTTATTTTTATTATTGTCTCAACTTTTCACTTCTCTTTCCCAATGACTGACATGTCATCTTTCCACCATTTATAATATAGCGCCGCCAGTACAAGTGTAGATGGTGTAATAACACGTATCTCAAACAACCTACCTCTTACTTTAATCTTTGGGGACATTGCGATGGAAACGAAACCCGTCTGGCCTGCAAGCAGCGCAATCAAGCAATTGCTGGAGGGGTTATTCTTCCACTCAGCTATCTCAAAAAGCTGGACCAGGAACAAAAACTCACAAAGACGACCTTAGATTCTTTTGTAAAAGGACCAACTTTCACAGTTGATCTTTTGAACATGATCTTAGTCGTCTGGATTGTTCGACACGCCCTCCCTTGGGCTCGATTCGAGGATGTTGCCCTTCGAGTCGCCTTTTACACTATCAATCGTAGTGCTTTAGTCCGATCGACTTGTTGGGCTTCTCAAAAGTCCATTAAACTTTTCTCAGCCTTGCATAATAAGGCCATCAATACGTTGAAAGTAAGCAACTTCAACATCCTCTTTCCTTTATTCTTGCATTCATTCTTCTAATGTTTTATCTACATAGGAAAACAAAGGTCGGTTTTGTCTAGTACACGACGTTTGGACGACCAAAGGCAATTGATACGCCTTTGTGGGAGCCACTGCCAATTCGTTGATAACAATTGGGAGTCCCAATCAACTCATCTTACCCTCAAGATGGTCGGTTGGCGTCATTTTGGGGTTCTTCTAGCTCGACCCATTGGTCGATTCTTGATTGGACATGGCCTTCATAAGAAGATCAGTCTCTCTTTTCCTTGACTTCCCTCTCTCATCCTTCTTTTTGTTTTATCAATTGATCTTGTTATAATAACTTACTTTTTTTCTCTTCATTTTTTTTCCCTATATCTTTTTTTCATCCTACTTACATGCTAGCCCAGACCACCGACAGTGGAGGTAACAACGGGCCCATGGCCTCCGAAGTTCAGTCTATGTTTTCTGAAGCTGAAGATTTGGTTTCATGGGACTCCTCAACTCACCATATCCGATGCTACGCCCATAAACTCAATCTTGTTGTTGGGCATGGCCTCAAGGCGATTGGTCAGAAGGTAGGTCGGACAAAGCCCTCTACTCCACACGGGGTCCCTCTTCCCATTCCAGGAGTTGAGGTCAACAATGGTGAGGATGATGTTGAGTATGATGATGAATCCGAAGAGGAGAACAAGAATGGTTTACCGGATGGGCCCGATGGTGTTGATGACGAAGAAGATGAAGAAGAACTTGGCGCTGTTGCTTTTGACAAGGACGATTTGGTCGCAAAGGCTCTTGAAAAGGTAAATACTAAATTAAGTGACTGTAACTCTTCTCAATTCTGATGTTTCTATGTGTTTCTCTTCTGTTACTTAGGTCGATTCAGTCTCTGGCCAAATTGCCAGCAGTGCAGCTCGTTGGAACGATTTCAAGACTCGTGCCACTCGGATGGGATACACAGGTCGAATGCTCAAAAGGCCTTGCAAGACTCGATGGAACAGTCACTACGAGAGTCGCAAGGTTGCTTGTGAGGCACAGGAGGTGAGACTTTGTCAATGTCTATGTTCCTTTCTCTTCACAGATATCACTTAACATTACTGATCATATTGTTTATAGGTTATCAACTCTATGATCGCAGCAGATCGCAAGGCTGCTTTTTTTAAAGGTGTCACGATTTCTGCCTCTGAATGGCATGCAGTCGAGTTAGTTAACAAGGTGTTGAAGGTACAGGTCTCTCTTTATCTCCATACTTTATTTTGATTCGTTTATTGACCAATGCCTTCTTTGTTTTAGACGTTTGTTGATGCCACAGCCAGAGTTGAGGGAAATGGCCCGACTGGTTGTATTCTCCTTGCAGAATACAAGAGAGTTATCAACAAGCTAAAACAACATCAAGCTGAATCTGTGACCTTCCCAAGTCTTGACAACGCCATTGACATCATGATCAAATGGCTCACCAAGTATCAACACAAGGCTGCGGACTGCGAAGCTATAGTCCTAGCCACAATCCTTAAACCACAATATCAACAAAAATTCATATCACTTCATTACCCTGAATCCAAAATCTCATCAAAGCTTTTGATTGAGTCTGCGTTCAACGAACTTGTGGAAGACTCTGAGGGACGTGAGACAACACCAACACCTGAAGAGCCAAATGACCCGGTGGATGTTGATGAGTTCGACGTTTTTGGGGATTCAAATGATCTATCAGCCAAGTCTCCCAGCTCGGAGTTGGAAGACTATCTGCAAGGCCGATTTCCAATCACAAAAGAACAAATCCCACTCGATTGGTGGAAGGTTTGTCTTTGCTCTACTCCTTCTCTTTATCCCCTTTCTGATCCTTACAAGAGTTGTTAACTGACCTCCTCATATTCGGTCAACAGGTAAATCACCATCGTTTCCCAATACTTGCAAAGCTTGCCTGTGACTACCTATCAATCTCTGCCACTTCGTGCGCATGTGAGCGCACGTTTTCGGCCGCTGCCGATGTCTGTAGCCCATCGCGAGGAAGCATGCTACCTCGCACAATGGAGCAATTGGTTGGGTCTCAAGCCTGGTTGAAGGAAGGGATTATTCCTGATGGGGATTTTGAAGAAGCTGCAAGAGCCCTTCAATCCTATATTGACAAGATGCACAAAAAGAAGGGCAAGAAGGGGTAGTCTTTATATCTGGGATATCTTTCACATGAATTTTGTTTTCACTTTGTCTTTTTTTGTTTTTCTTTCTTCCACTTGATTCCTATACCAAGTATAGTCGAATCCAACCCACTCTCCTACCTCCCCAGCACTATAGAATGTTGGGCAGGTACACATGGGTTTTGAAATAAATCTTTTTCTTTTCTTTTAGCGTACACAGCGCGCTATATAGCGGTTCCCTCCATAGCGCGCTAAAAAGCAATATTGTAGTGGTTTAAGCACTACAATATCCCGCAAAGACTTTTTTCTGCAAAATAGCGGAGTGGCAGCGCCCTGTTTCATAGCGGAGGCTGCGCACCACTACGGAATCTGGTCAAATTCCGTAGCGTTGCGCAGCGGTTTGGGTGTTGCCATAAGCTCCTGTACCACCTCCTGTGCGTCGGATTGCTGTTTTCTAGTCTTCATTCGTGGGCGCTGAGAAGGTGTGGATAACAATTTTGTGTGATCTTCCTGATGGGAAGAGAGCTCGGCCATCATTTTGCGGCGAATGACAAGGTAAGAATCTTTGTTGTACATGTTCATGGATGCCACAATCGCGTAAAACCCACAATTTCCATACGGAGGAGGGTTGTGAATTGATTTGATGTATGGTACAATTCCAACTGGTAGTTGCTTCAATATAAACTGATCTTTTGGTTCCACAAGACCGCTTTTGTCGAATGTATTGGATTGAAGATGAAGACATTTGGGGTCGTGGTTGATATTTTTTGGAGTCAAAGATGTGTACTTGGTCGAAGTGTTCTCGTTCTTGTCCTTCCACTCGTAATCAATTGGAAACACCTCAGCGCCAAACTTCCGACTGGCTTCAAGCGTGGCATTGACTTTATGATTGTCTTGAGGTAATCGTAGATCCTCAGCGATCAAAGAGAGGCTTACTTCAGGAAGCAGGACTTGTTGGATGAACGAATCAGGGCCAAGTGGGGCTGTGTTTTTCTTGTTTAGTTGTACATGTGATGAATTGGATAAGAAGATTTGCTCGAGTTTTGTTACAATGACCTCGAGACCCTTGTATCCATAACTAAAGGTAACAGAACATTAGCATCAGAGCATTTCTCTGTGAACTTGCATGGACTCACTAGCCAGGAATCTCTACTTCAAACCCATCAAATTGTAACATCTGACCTCAGACACCGGCCTTCCATTTCTGTACAGCTAGGTCAAAGTAGTCAGACTTTGTCTCACGTGTTATTATCTTTGAAAGAACATTGCAATGCAAGTCTAAGCGGCTGTTGTACCACAAAAGCATGTCAGCCAGTGGTGTTACAGACAAACTCCAAGTTGGGTCTCACCTCACAAGACCGCTGAAGTCGATTGAGCTTGGCCATCCTGCACTGATCCCTTGGGGAATTACATCGCGTTCTTCCACATGAAGCCCGCAAAACAACGCCGTTTGTGCAAACTGAAAAAGAGGTCAACAATATAATACATTTGTTAGGATGTTATATGTTATTTGACTTACCGGAAGGCGACCCTGAGTGGTGGGCATAGCAAGGAGTTCGGCCTGCATTGCGAGAAGTTTAGCGGAAGGTTTGACTGGCATCTCTTCTTCACAAAACAGGCAAAGGTTTTTGCCTGATTCTGTGTCGGAGCCTTCAGTGTCGGACCCAATATCACTTTCATCATCCTCAAAGAGTAACAATTGTTCTTTGTGTTTGTCTTCATCCTGAAAAAACAAATCATGTGCATGGCCATCAGGTAATTCAGTAGTTTGAGTTATGCCATTAAACAAATCGGTAGGTTGAGTGGTAGGTTGGGTGGCATTAAACATATCGGTAGGTTGAGACTTGCCCACAGGACATATGTTGGCCCGATGTCCTGGTTGGCGGCATTGGCTACATTTGTAAACTTTGGTGGTTGGGTTTGGGTTGGGTAATTGAGAGACATCTATCGGATTCGACGAGATAGAGGGAGCTGTAATTGGAATTGACGAGGCAGAGGGAATGTTAGGCTCTTTGGTGACGGCTTCATTGGAATCGTTTTCTTCTTCGTCAGAGTCTTCATCCAGCTTGGCCTCTTCTCGAGTGAGTGCGTCTTCAAGTCGCCTTCGTTTGGCTTTTTCTTTTTTCTTTTGTTTGGTTTCTTCAACTTCGTGTCTAGATTTCCATCGACCATTCTTAGAGACTGCTGGTTTTTTTTGACTCCCTGTTTGTGGCCGACCTCGATTGTTGTGCTTTACTTCAGGTGGTAATATAGGAACTAATGAGTAACGTCCTGTTTTCATTAGATCAACTTCCTCATAAATTTTACGGAGTGAATGTTCCGGTAGAGTCAATAAGGCATTGAATTTCGAACGTGCGGCATCATGAAGGCCTTGTTGAGATTGGGGGGCAATGTCCATGACAAGGCGCCACTGATCATGCACTAGGTTTGGGGAAAGCGTTGAAGATACCTCGCGTTCAGCAGCGATGTCGTGACTACATGGCATTCCCCATGCAGTTCGGAAAGTCTTGGTGCAGGGCCGGTCAGGTTGCTGTTCAGACTGAGACATCTTTGTGTACTGGGAAGCTATCTCCTTGATAGCAAAATGTGAGATAACACCGTGAAGGTCCTTAAGGAATGCCGGTATGTCTTGAAGTGTCTTGCCCTTCTCAATTCCAAAGGAGACCATGATTTCATTGTACTGATGTTCACCATGACGTTTGAAAGCATTAAAACAAGTTAAGAAATCGTTGTGGGGACCGTCTAGAAAGGTTTTCAATCCGAAGTGGCCTCCTTCGACCCGGGATGTAGATGAATTGCCAAAATGGGGTGTTGATGATGTAAAAAGCGAAACGAACTTGTTACTTTGATGAAGCCAATTACGTTCCAAGTATTTGAGAACGTTGCTTTTTTTGGCGATGACAGTGAGAGATTTCAAGTTCATGTCATATTCTTCAGGAGTTGATGAGCAAGTAAACTGATTCCAAACTTTCATGAATTCATCCCATTCATTGTTTGTCTTGAAATTCTTCTTACAATTCTTCCCTATGTTCTTGTTGATGTGCCAGATACATAATATGTGTACAGAATCTGGAAATATCGTGTTGATCGCATTAAACAGCGCGGGTTCGGCGTCAGTGGCAAAGGTTCGAGGAAGGCTAACTGTTGTATCCAAGCCAAACACAGTCGACTTCAGCTGTTGCATAGCCCACTCGTAAGCATCTTCGGTCTCACTGTGCATGAAACAAAGTGCTACAGTGAAGGATTTGTGGGCGTTGGTGGTCCCGACAATGTGGAGTAGAGGTAAGTTGAACTTGTTGGTTTTATAGGTGCAGTCGATGCCTAGCACGGTAGGAAAACGTCGTGCAAGCAGGATGGCCTCAGGACTGGCAAAGAAAAAACTTTGAAGGGTACCGGCGTCTGAAGTTACCGTCCGGAAAGCCCATTTCAGGTCGGTGACCAAATCCAACAAGCCTTGGATCGCGGTTCGTCCATTGAGCCAGGATCTCTTTTGACGTGCCCGGGCGTTGTAGATATCGCGCACAAGGACGTCGGCGCCGCTGTCCACTTTCAGACGTGGGCGAATGATGCGTGGTCGAACGCCAGCTGAAGTTAGAAGTGATATCGTCTTGTCATTTTCCAAATTGATTTGTCAATATTGACTTTCTTCATGCAGATGTTTGAAAGGAGGGTGATTGTGAACACCTTTCAGAGGGTTTTTGATGGCATCCGAGGTGACAAACCACCGTCCTTTAGACGCGTAGTAATTCAGTGAGACCTCAAAGGTACATCCTGTCTTCTTCGAAGACGATGCACGCTTCTTGAAAAGCGAAAATTCGGTCGAGGTACCTGAATTCCCGTGACAGTTTTCTAAAGGTGAGCTCCTTCACCTCAAGTCACAATAACTACCTGAAGATACTAACCTGAATTCCCGTGACAGTTTTCTAAAGGTGAGCTCCTTCACCTCAAGTCACAATAACTACCTGAAGATACTAACCTATAAGGTTTGATCAGGTCAAGATAAAAATGTAGAAAAGAGATCGACGCGTATTCAGTCTAAGATCTATAATTCTTTTCCTTCCGTAGAATAACGGATTTATTTCACCTGAATTCCCGTGACAGTTTTCTAAAGGTGAGCTCCTTCACCTCAAGTCACAATAACTACCTGAAGATACTAACCTACATAATCAGATCATAACACAACAATCATATGAAAGAGATAAAAGTTAGATAAAGAAGAAAGCAAGTAAGTTCATAACAACAAGACTAATCTGACCTATAAGGTTTGATCAGGTCAAGATAAAAATGTAGAAAAGAGATCGACGCGTATTCAGTCTAAGATCTATAATCTAGCGTCGATACGATTTCAGGTGAAAGTATAATAATAGAGTCAATCATATTAGTAAGTAACTGAATTTAGAAAGAAAGAATAGATAAAGAGAAAATGTATATATATATAATTGGACAATGATGAAAAGAGAATGAGACGTGAGAAAGTATAAAGGGGTGTGACTTACTCTTTTCCTTCCGTAGAATAACGGATAAGGAAAAGAGCAAGTACGCGTTGGAAAATTCACTTGAGATATAAAGGATGATTAGGGTTTCAGACTTTAAGTTTAACTTGAGATTTTACAGTTTAAGTTAAAATGTCATAAGTATCTGACATGTATAGTCTTACTTCTACTATCTTTCATGACAGATGAAACACCATATACGAGAGACCAAGGTGTCTCTCAACACTTCTCCTTTTCATCATCAGCGTTCTGATCATCCTCATTGTCCTTAGCCTCATTTGATTTGTTGGTTTTTTTGGGTTTTGCTGCGCGGGAACACTCCAGATAGATGCGTGGCGTCGGTCCGTTAGGGTTGGGCTTGTGGCTCTTGACGGATAAAACGTAACCTTGATACCGTGCAACCACATTCAGATACATTATCCCAGCCTCCCTTTTGATGAATTGCTTGCCGATTTTGGGTGATTGCATTAATCGTACTGGGGCGGATCCTGTTTTGAGTTGATGAGTGATCAGATCAAATAAGTATCCCAGATTTGAATTAGAAAAGAAAAAGAGATGTGAACTGAACTGACCAATAGGAGGCCATTCATTGTCTCACTACACCAAATGTAATCTTTACCGGGCAGTAAAGAAAACTACTGACATAGAAAAGTCCTGAGGCAACAGGAAGAGAGCTAAAAATCTGAAAAGATATGCACCTTGTTCCTAGATGTTGGGGCGTCATGATGAGTATTTTTTTGTATTTTACATGCAGATATTGGTTTATGTACTAACAATAAACACTGAAAATCATCAAAAACTCACATGTAACAATACCTGAAATTTGGGTCATGAGTATGAAGACAATATTTTGTGGTCTAAAAACTTCAATAACTTTTGCAATTCTGCTCCAAATAACTCGATTTTTGGTTCATTCAAAAGCTGAACTATTCTCCTTCACACTTCATAATGTTAGTAAGGTGCTATCTAGTCATTTAAACACTCTACATATGTTCAAACAGTTCTACATGAATAGCTCTGTAGGATCTTTTTTAGACCAGCTACAGATGTGATGTCTCAATCAAAAATGTAGAGGAAAGGCTCACCTTTTTAATGCACTTCAAATCGAGTGATTTGTTTCAGAACTGCAAAAGTTATTGATGTTTGAAGATTCCAAAATCCTGTCTTCAAAGTCAAGGGCCAAATTTCAGGTATTGTTACAGGTGGGTTTTTGATGATTCTCAGCCTTTATTGTCAGTACATTAACCAATATCTGTGTGTAAAATACAAAAAAATACTCATCATGACGCCCCAACATCTAGGAACAAGGTGCATATTTTTTCAGATTTTTAGCTCTCTTCCTGTTGCCTCAGGACTTTTATATGTCAGTAGTTTTCTTTACCGCCCGGTAAAGATGACATTTTGTGTAGTGTCTCGCTCGTCGTTTGCCAAATCGAACTCTCGTAATATGCTACTCTCGTTCGATTCACGTTGCTCTTCATTTGTAACAACACTTTTGCTTTCACCGGTGGGACTAGGGTTCCAGTGCGATGATACGAGGTTCGGATTGTTATCAACACTTGTCAAGTGTGTAGGAAGTGAAATGATCTCGGTTGAGTTTGATATAGCTTGAGCTTGACCACTTGACAAATCAAGATGCTGAGATTGTGTTTGTGACAGAGTGGGTGTATAGCCTGTGGTTCCGGGGGGATTTGAAAACACGAACTGACTGGAAGGTGCAAATTGAAAGCCAGGAGTTGAGTGCCAGGCGATGTGGGGTTGGTACAAAGGTCCAGCTACATAATTGGTTTGAGACGGGATATAGACGTGGTGGTGGATAACAGATTGGTTTGGTAATGCAATTGGTAGTGTCGCGCTGGGTTGTGGCTGAGAATGAGTGAGATTTGAGTTCCCCAAAGGCTTTGTTCGGTCATTGTTCACAGGCAGGCCTTTGCTGTTTCGCTTCATCAGATAGATGCTGATTCTGGTGAACGCAGAGGGTCGGTGGTTGCCGGTTTGGCAAGTCCAGCTGAAGTAGAGTGTTGAGGACGGCTGAGGTACAATAAGAAGCAGATATGATGAGAAGAGACGATAGATAAGAAGATGAGTTGAGGAAGTGAAAGAGTGTGATGAAGGGAACGTTACTTACCATTGTAGGCAACATCATCTTCATCCATCCAAATCCAATCCACGTTTGGAGTCCCTGAGCTGTTCGATCGGTTGATGGATGTGATGATGAAGTGTTCCAATGGATGGTTGAGGTATTGCCGATTGGGATAGGTGGTATCATGATATGAGGGCTAGTAGCCCGCTCTGGTAATGAAAAGCCCTATTGAGCGGTAGATAGCTATCCAGC